ATAGAGCCATTCGAGTTAAGGTTTCTGTTTATTACAAATTTAAACACTTAAATCTGCCGAGGCAGACGTAATTTCGAAATAATTGCGTTGTTTGATCCCTTGCTGTATCATTATTACTAAAGCTTTAGTTATGAAATTAATATTTAAGATGTTTAATGATTTGCTCTATAAATCATAGTCTTTAGAAACACTATTACCTGTATTTTATATTTTTATTGAATTGATATTCAATAATTTTATATGAAATTACTACTTAGTTTGATAAAATTATTAATACAAAGATCGAACACTCAGAACAAGTTCCTTTGATCCGGCCTGATTCGAACCGACGTCTTCTGCGTGATAAAACTTTCATAGATTTGAGAATCTTGAAGTGAAGGTATTTGTCTCAAAGTTAGAATAAAGTTAAGAGTAAAATTGTATTAGAAAAAGATAGCAGTATTTTTGTAATGACAATATCTTATTACTTTTAATAAATATTTTTTCAGAATTAGCAAATATTTTGAGAAATTGCTCTTTCTTCTTAGTAGAAATCCTTTTTTTCTGTGCAGCAGTAGATGAAGTCGGGTTGTGGATGAAGATGGTGTTTTTTATTACGAATACAATCACTGCCACTGGGTGAAGTATAGCTAACGTGTCCACGATTTTTTTTCCTCAGAGTGGGACATCTGTAAATTTATTATTGTTTTAAAAATGTTCGATCTTTGTATTAATAATTTTAACAAACTAATGGAGTAATTTCACAAAAAAATTTAATATCAATTCAATAAAAATTTTAAAATACAGCGAATAGCGACATCTCTCGCCAGGACTGGTAGCTGTAAAGGTACTAACTGGGTGATAAATCTTTCATAGAGTTCTCACAGATGGCGCTACGACTAAAAAGTCATTGAAAAACCAAATACAAAGACACGACAAAAAGCGCATAGAAAAATTCGTGAGGTCCGCTGTTGGTTCGTTCCGTGGCTTAGTTGGTATAGCGGCTGGCACGGTATGCTAGAAGACGTTGGTTCGAATCCGGCCGGATCGAAGTAATTTTTCCTGAGTGTTCGATCTTTGTTTTAATAATTATAACGATAACTTGTAGTTTCCTTTATACAATAAAAAAAATCTGAACTTATCTCTAAAAAACAAAATAAGACCAACGGCGTAAATACTTCACGGAAGGTCATCAACTTCTGAATAATAACAAAAATACATCTTTTCTATAACGTACACTCCGTACATTTTCAAAATGTGTATTTGTTTTAATAATACGAAGGAAATATCTAAATTCGAACGCGGTCCGCCCATACGAGCCAGAGCCGCCACGCATCCCCCTGTCCTCTTTAGTCCTGCTTCGGCCGTTAGACGCGGAGGTTGTATCACTTGGGCTTACACACTGCTTTAAAAACGTATACCACACGCACACATAGAATACCTAAAATCAATTAGCGCCATAAGTCCCCTGTTATACTCTATTTTTTTAGTTTGTAGATTTTTATTGTGATTGAAATAAATAAAAATGTTAATAAATGTTTTTTATATAATAAATTAATAAATAGCGCACACACTCAACATAGTCCCGCACTAAGGAAACTCTGTGTCGCGGATGCCATGAACACACACATAGACAACCACAAGTTACACCCAAACTCACGAGAGAAATAAATGTAGGCCATACAAATATTTCTCCCGGCCCGGGAATGGAACCTGGGACCTTTGCGTGGCAGTCCGGTATGGTAACCGTTCGGCCACGGAGGCAGTTAATTATTATAAACATTAATTAAGAAATGATAATTTTAGATAAGATTATGCCCTTACGTTAGTTGGCCTATTGGCATACAGTCCCACTGCTGGGCTCTGGCGTCCTCTCACAACTAGAGGGCTTGGGCTGTAGTTCATGTGAAACCAATGTTTTTCTTCACCGAAAAGCTCATAGTGAATTTCTAAATAAACTTTGCATATAAATTCTGTGTAAGCCCGGATTCGAACCCATGACCTCTGCTTGAGAGGCAGTAGGTCCAACCATTAGGTCACCACGTATTTTACACTTTTATTTGTTTTATTAACTTTAGAAAAATTAGGTTTTCGCAATTGTTACACCTGGGAAATGAAACATTTTTCCGGATTTATAATTTTTTTTTTCAATCAAAACAAGTCTGTAGTCCATTATCTAACCAGGATGCTGCGAGAGGCCATTTAAATCAATTAAAATAAAGCATCCTAATTTCAAGAGGGAAGATGGTTTCTCCGTACCACCAGTTTAGGATCCAGTATTTCATCTGATGAAAAATCCCAAACAGACATAAGACTGCAGTACTAATTAATATGTTTTAATTTATTTCAATTTCCATTATTAATTAATAATAATTTAATTTAATAAAAATTCACATTGTTAAAATAAAATAATTTATAAAACATATTGTAGCGTAAATTGGTATGTTTTTTTGTAAATTTAAAAATAAGATATTTAATTAATAACTTTTGTAACTATAGTGAAATAATCTCAGTACAGAGTACTAAAAATACCGACCTCAAAAGTACGTGGAATTACGTCTATTTGCTAAGTTTTATTGAAATATCCTTAAATTCGCCACTATACAGGACTTGACACTGGAGATAATAAAAATCGGTTCTCACTACTCAAGGTATATGGAGAGAAAAACGCCTTGAATTGGAGAAATAGCAAAATCAACCATTAAAATAATTGCTCCTTAGTAAAATTTAGGCGCAATTTATAAAAATGAATCTTCATACGTGAGCATCCACCCTAAGAGGTGGATGATTTTCCTCAAAATGAAATGGGACCACTATGGAAGTACCCCCTTTCCAGCAAAAAAGAATCATGTAAATCGGTTCACAAATACCGGAGTTATCGCGTAACATACATACAAAAAAAAAATCATACAGTCGAATTGAGAACCTCCTCCTTTTTTGATGTCGGTTAAAAATAGGGTGGCTTGTATTAATATTTGACATAACTGGTTGATGACTGTACCACCTCAGTCAACCGTGACAATGGGACCTGTAAAGGGCCCGAAACGTTGGTTTGTTGAAAAAACAAATATAAGCGATTTAATTCCGGAAAAACAGTTTCATTTCCTGTTTAGAACAATTGATTTTAAAGTAAGGTGTCGAAGACAATCTCTTGGAGAAAATGGAACGAATAAATTTTCACCTCCTTCGTACGAAAATTAATACTAGTTTCAAGTTTTCCTGCAACGAAATTGCTTGCGGCGTATTGCTTATGTCTGCTTAATCTGTATTATCGAACATTTTAACTTTGTGCTTGCGTTTACTAACAGAGAATTGTATGTGTTATTACTATACACTTGAGGTATGGAAGGTGAACACCAACCTAAATTGACATATGGAAAATTGTTGCTTTATGACAGAGAGGTCTCAATTGCAGTTGGTCAATTTGTTATTATGAGTACTAATTCAGGAAGCTGTTATTATTTAGGTACCTAATTCTTACAAATTCTCGAAATTCTTGTCCTTTAATTTATAAAAAGAAAATCTATTTCATTCTTGCCTTAAAATTAATATTCATTATCAAATTATAATTTGAATTCGAATTCAAATTAGTCTCCTTAAATAAAAAATAATAATATAAATATGTCCCCAAAATCATTCCCTCACTATGTCCCAAGTTCCATAATCAAACACGTTTTGTGCTTTAAATCAACATAATTAACAAGAGTAACCATTAAATTTGAAACATTCGATCAAATAAAATATGTTTTTGCAAAATTAAAGCTATCATGTGGGAAAAATACGATAAATAAGTTTAAAAAATGTATTATTTTTATTCATGTCCCAACCAAAAAAATTATTCCATGACATTTTTACCTTCACTCGATTTGTGAACATATTTCTAATCTTTGGTAAATGCATTTTGTAAGTTTTTGAAAGTTAGCAGCATTGTAAACGTTTCAAAATAACGAAATTCAACTTGTGTGTGTAAAAAGTTTCTACTACGAAAAGATTTAATTTAAAATTCGAAAAGTTACATTACACATGTTCATTAGAATATTTACATTACATACAGTACATTTTTGACAGTCATTCCCTCACATCATATAAAAGGAAGTTAAGCTTTTGATTTTGTTTATTAATTATTCCTTTAAGAAATAAAATATATTTTCTAGCTATAAAATGAGACCATGTGTAACCCACATGAATGAAACGTTGAAGGAATTTGTCTTTTCACCTCTTTTTTTATAATATCAATTGACGGGACGAACAAGTCGTGGCTAATAATAAGCTACACGCCTGTCCATTACAGTTGCAGTACCAGTCAGAGCTTTAAATCGCAAATATCTGAGGGGCACTGCCACTGCGCCCATCACCCTGAGACATAAGTTGACAAGTCCCATGTGCTTGTAATTTCACCAGCACCCTTACCCTTCAAAACCGGAACATTAGTAAGTAATGCTGACATTACCTCACCAGCTCAGAAAGGCTTTCTTTCTCATTAGAAATCTGCGAATTTGACGATGGCCTGTGGTGCACCAACTTCTTCTTTCAATGAAAAAAAACCATAACGACGCGTTCAACTACGCGATTTATGTACATTATTTATGTAATATAAATTCTTTGGTATATTTTATTCTTATTATTGTTGACATTAAATTGGCCACAATAACTAATTTTGTTTATTAAATTATTTTGTGATAGTTCAAATATTTTTCTCTCATCTACCATTTTCCTCGCTATAGTGAAGTGAAAATTTGTGCGTTTGGCTCGGCAGCAAAGTTGTTTTGCGTCTCATGTCTTGAAATCCTCGCTACGCTCTATTTTTAATCTCAGTGTCCTTCGCTTGCTCAGGTTTTAATACAAGCATTCTCGTCAAACAACAACTTTGCAGCCTGGCATGACAAATGACTATTGTGTTCGATGCTTTTTAAGTAGGTACAATATGCATATTAAATTCGCATTTGTTGCGTCCTCAATTAATTGTGTTTGTTTTTGTGTGCAATTAAAAAGTATTTGTATTGTAATGTATAGGTACTTACATTAGTAGGTAAAACAGAGACAAACTCCATTTTAGCCGACATGTGCTATCATGGTGAACTTCAAGTCTTGGTGTCAACTTTCAAGAGAAAGCTCTTTGACGGATTTTTGGTTCGTCTCCCTTGCCACGCCATCTTCGTGTCACATTACGTTGTATCTGAAACAATAAAATAAAATTTTTGAAATTTTTAGAACTTCTCCTCAGAATCATGTTGACTGCTGAAAGGGAGTAAGAGACATTTTTGGAATTGTTTTGAAGAATTTTATTTTGCATTAATTTGTAAGTATAATAGTACTTGTATGCTAGTATGCTCGATTTCATCGCATGTTAATGATTTGTTATTACCGTCCTTGTAAAGAAATTTATAACAGTACTATAATACTCTGATCATCTTTTGATAGCTTGAAAATCTATCCCATATTTGGTTTTCTTTTGTCGTTATTGCTGTATGGTGGCTTCTTTTTATTTCCTCACAAATTTGTGGTACTGTCTTTGTTGTAGGTATGTCCTCATTATTCGACCAGCTAGAAGGACTATCCCACCATAAAGGTAATTCTTGTAATTTTCTTGGTTCGGTTCCTCGGGAGATTATGTCAGTATCTTATGTATATGATAAATAAGTAATAAAAATTGTTCCATGACTCATAGCTGGCAGTAAATATTGGTAGAATAATTTTAGGTATTTTGATTGATGGTTTGGAGTGTGCACTTTCTGTAGTTCTGTTCTCGTTCATTCTAGTGAATAAGGTTTCGGTTACAAGTTCGTATTCAGTTTGGGTTGTTACGAATATGTCTTCTGTGAAATATTTATGTTGTAAGTTGCTGCCATCCATTAATATTCGTAGACGGGTTTCTTCAATATCACGCCACTGTTTTTGTAGGGTTGTCAGTAGTGATTGTAGGTTACCCAGCTGGTTTATTATCTTGAATGGTTTGGGTTGCTTGGTGTAATTTTTTCTGCATTTGATTAATACGAAATAATTGTGTGAATAATTTTGTAGAATGTTTTGAATCAGCCTCTTCAAAATCCTCCTTTTCTATGTCGTCTGGTTAGTATAATTCGTTGATATATGTAGTCGTTTCTCACATTCGCTTAGGTAGTTTATAGCTTCCCTAAAATGAAGTTGTATTACTCCAAAATAGTTGCTGGTGATATATTTGTGGGTTGATAGGATCTCCTGCCCCTCTAGGTGTTGGTGGTTGGCGAGAATTCTCTCATGGATTTCTTCTAATTTGGTTCTCCTTCTTTCAACACAGTGAAGGTTCTTCCTTTGTGTTGAATCCTTTTTCATGTTGCTTAATAATCTTCGTATTTCATAGTAGTCGCTCTCCTGACTTTTGATTAGTTCGTTGATCCGTTCTATCTCCATCTGGTATTGTTATAGGTGTGCTGCGTTTTCTTCTTTCTTGCTGTCCCTACTATCCCTGATATTCCCTAGCCTATTATCCTATTCTATATATAAGTCAACGCTTAACTGTATTCTATTTCCTCAAAACGGTATAATGCGACTTCTCAAGCTGCCGGTGAGACCCGCTGGTTTGAGGCCGGCGCCCGAACCGCTACCGATGTTAGTTAAGCGCTATGGTACTTTAATGTGCAATGAAACTAGCGCTTGTTGATTACGCTAGCCCACTGTTCGTCAAAGTGTCTGTCAGTCAATGTCGTTCCTAGCTAGCGGGAAAAGAGGACCGTGAATTTAAATGCTAGTTACTATTAAACCTCGAAGTATCAAAGTGAACAACGGCAGAATGAACCACGGCAGGTTCAAACTAAAACCAGAAGGACCGAAAATGAACAGCGTGCGGTTAGGTATTAATGTGGTGGTAGTGCTTGTCTGACAATGTAGTCTGTGGTAAGGGTAAGATAAAAATATAAACCACACTATTAACCCTAACGGTGAGACCTCAAGAGTCGTTCCAATGAATTTATCTAATAGTGTAGCCCTACAACCTGACGGTGTGTAGCCTCACCTAACCATAAATATATAGACGGAGAAATATATATGCAAGATATGAACGGGAAACCTGTCACCATGAGACCTAAGGTGACAAACGGAAGGTTGGAAGGAGGTAAGGAAGTACACGTCGCGGAATGTGTACTGGAGTGGTATTCTCACTACCGGTCAAGCAGACTCACAAGACCGATCTACTGATAGCTAAAGATGTCTTAGCCACAGTGAGAGGAGTAGCGGGTAGTACTAAGCAGAATGATGAGTTTGATGAGTTAAAGTCAGATGGTAGTCGATAACTGAGTATATTTAAAAATCTTATTACTATTTATACAATTTTTATGACTAATACATAATGATAGGTTTTTCTTAGTGTGCTATGTGTGTTGGTTGCCGATGAAGCTCTTTTCTGTTAAGTAGTGAATTATGTCACTATATTGTACTTGTTGCCTGATGATGAGGCCATTTCTTGTGACAGTTTAAAGATCGAACATTCAGAAAAAATTCTTTCGATCCGGCCGGATTCGAACCTACGTCTTCTAGCATACCGTGGCAGACGCTATATCAACTAAGCCACGGAACGAACCAGCGGCCTCACGAATTTTTCTTTGTGTTTGTTGTCGTGTCTTTGTATTTGGTTTTTTCAACGACTTTTTAGCCGTAGCGCCATCTATGAGAAATCTTAAGTATTTCGTCACCCAGTTAGATAGCTTTACAGTTACCACCCCTGGCTAGAGATGTCGCTATTCCTTGTATTTAAATTTTTATTGAATTGATATTCTCTTATTTTTTATATGAAATTACTCCAATTTGTTATAATTATTCATACAAAGATCGAACACTCTGAAAAACAGTATGCTAGAAGACGTCGTTTTGAATCCGGCCGGATTGAAGGATTTTTTAAATTAAAGACTAATAAGAGCTGAGAAAAACCCAATGCCACTTAAAAATCAATTAAACAACTTATTAACTAATAATAATAGTACAGTATCCGAATTTTTAAGTCAAATCCTTAACTTCACTGTCTAATTTTTGACATTTAATAATAATACACACTCATAGCCCTGTACTAGGGAAACCCTGTATTGCGAGAACATGGACACAGACACAGAAAACCACAAATCACTAAACTCACGAGAGAACTAAATGCAGTCCATACAATCGAAACGAAATCAAATGTAGGCCGGGAATCGAAACCAATACGTGGCGGTCCAGCATGGCAACCGTTCGACCACCGAGGCAGTTAAAATAATGTAATAATAATAATAATAATAATAAATCTTTATTGTTTCTCTCACAAAGTCTTAGTATAAATACAAAAACAGTGCTTAATTATCTAAATAGTACAATATTTAAGTCTGTGTGAGAGACTGGCATCCGTACTAGGAGACCTGTATTACAGATCACCAGCCCCTCCACACTCCGGACCAAAGACAAGTACAGCTTACTTATACTTAGATAGTTACATCAAGAAATGACTTATTAATAGACTTAAGGCGCGAGGGTGTGTGTATGTGTGTGAAGGTGTGTGCGTGCGTGCGTGTGTGTATGTGTATGTGTATTTGCGTGTGCGTGTGTGTGTTCTGTGTGTGACAGAGAGTGTGATTGGCTATGCAAGGTGTATACAAAACCCAACTTACCAAAATAATGAAATAACGATATTAATTTAGTATTACTCATTTTAAGTTGAGATAATTCACAGATTTTAAGATTAATCATAATTTAGATTTTATTTTAAGTTGGAACAATTAAGAGATTTTCAGTTTCATCATAACTTAGATTTTTAAGCCAACTAGTGACAACTGTTTTACAGTTGAATTTAGTGAGCGAGTATATTTTAGTTGTTTTATTTATTTTATTATATAAATACCCTCCTAGAAAACCGAAGAATCTATTCGAAAAAGCTGTGGTCCAGCGAGTAGAAGAATGACATACTTTATATTTCAAACGTTTGTTATTATGGAGCGAAGGATCATAGTTCAGATCAACGTGTTGTTTTAATACAGTGTGCAGGACAAATAGTTGACGCACAGACAAGACATCACAAAGGGAATAAAGGTCTGAAGTAGGGAACATAAAGGGCAAAGACCGACTCACTTTCAGGACAGCTCGCTGAGCTCTTTCAACCTTTATTAAAGAAGATTTAGGTACTCCACCCCAAGCAGTGATGCAGTACGTTAGAACGGATTGGCATAACGCCAAGTACACCATATTAATGACACGGTTATCTGCGATGTGCCTAAGATTTTTAAAGATATATATTAGTTTACGTGTCCTAGCTGAAAGTAAGTCTATATGCATATTGAAACTCAAGGTGTTATCTATCATTACACCAAGATATTTGATATGGGAAGCTAACGTAAGACTGGGACAGAAGCACGTCGGGTCGCCGAGACAGGTATGGGCTAAGATGGTGTAGTCGTCATGAGTGGTCCATGGGATATTTTTAATTGAGAATGGAATATATTTGGTTTTTTCTACATTTAATGTTAGCCCATTGTTTTTGAGCCAAGAATAGACTAAGTTGAAACCGCTTTGAGTATAGGCGTACACTTCATGCCAAGTATCGCCATGAAAAATTAAGGCCGTATCATCGGCAAACGTCACAATCCTACCATTTCGGAGCTGGAGATTGCAGAGGTCGTTAATGTAGGCGAGGAACAGTGTGGGGCCTAAAACACTGCCTTGCGGCACGCCGTAAGTTATGGGCAGATCGCCACTAGTTACCTCCCTGACCCTAACCCTCTGCCTCCTATCCGTCAAGTAACCGGTAAACAGCCGAAGCTGATTACCCCTTACGCCCATACATTCCAACTTCTGAAGCAAAAGTGGTACAGAGACCGTGTCGAAAGCCTTGGCTAGATCCAAAAATACTGTTATAACTTTTTTCCTTCTATCCAGTTTAGTGACAATTTCATTGACCAGTTCGTGAACTGCATCATTAGTCGAAATGCCAGACCTAAAACCGAATTGCGAACTGGATAGAAGGGATTTAGATTCCAAATAGTTGACCAAGCGCTTATTTAAGAGTTTTTCTATTACCTTAGAAATGGTAGGTAGAATAGAGATAGGTCTATAGTTATTGACACAGTCTCTGTCACCACTCTTGTATATTGGAATGATCTCAGCACGTTTAAATTCAGGTGGAAAAACA